GCCTCCGTATGACAGCTACGGGCACGCGCCGCCAACCGCAAGAGAGCCCATCGTGCAACTACAAATGTCGTGGGCGGACAATCAGAGTCGCAGAACATCGCGCAGTGCACCTCGTTCGTCCCCTGGCTTCTCCTAAGACTTCGAGCTCCGTGCGGATCTCCTGATGTCGTGCAAACAGCAAAACATTATCACCTTCCATCCTGAACGACCCGTGGGTTGGACGGCAAAGGCACCCGTGGCTCCAGCCATGTTTCACCACTATTTACTGGTAGCCCGTAGCAGGACAAAAAAAACAAGTATTCAGACTGGAAAACTCACATCATTGCCAGGGGATGCTACATGAACGGTCCCATCATCCTTGGACGCTGAATAAAGGAGAGAGGTGGAGCACCCGTCGAGAGGAGGAGGAGCACCCGGCGTGTCCTTGGCCGCCGGAAGGAATTTACCCGGGCGATGGGCCCACACAAATGCACGTGTCAATGCCGCAGTCGTGGGTGTTGTCTCCGGTGGAGTTCCCTATGGGGCCAGGAAGCGCGAGAGGGGCGTGCCGAACTGGGTGGTGGGCGGGGGCCGTGAGCGCACAGCGCCGTCGCGGCCCTTGCGGGCCACGAAACGAGTGAGGTGTGTGTGTGTGTGTGTGTGTGTGTGCCGAAGCTGGCGCGACGCCGAAACAAACACGCCGCCACTGGGGTTCCGATGGAGCTCCTTATGGGGCTACGAGACGTGTGAGGCGTGCGCCGAAACGGGCGTGACGCCCACATGCGAACGTAGCCACTGGGGCCTTCGGTGGAGCTGTCCATGGGGTCACGAAACGCGTGAGGGGTGTGCCGAAATGGTTGACATGCGGGGGGCAGAAGCAGGGCTGGGAAGAGGGAGGAGGGGGAGGAGGAGAGGAAAGAGACGCGGGGCAATGTCTCTTCAAACCGAGGACGCAACACTACAGGATGGCTGGGGGGAAACAGGCATGCCCCCCACTCCCGCCAACCCGTACCCCATCCCTGGCTCCGGCTCGCATTCCCCTCTCGCACGCCATCTGGCCAGTTACTCCTCCTTCTCTTCGTCCTCGTCGTCGTCGCCGTTCTCAGCCACACACTGACCCGCTGACCTCCCGAGCCCCCGACTCCCTTCGCGGGAACCCTTCCTCCTGTTCGTCCAGAAGCCGGGCGCCGACACGTGAGGAACAGGCGCGGGGAGTCACGCGCACGGCTCCGCCAGAGGAGCAGGGCCTCCGCCCCGTCCCTCCCCCCTCCCCCTGCCGCCACTCCCCCTACGATTCGGTCGGGCGCGTCCTCCTACAAAGCGGATTTTGGACGAAAAATACGTAGCACCCCGCATATGCGGATAAGAGTGGGGACGTCCGCAGTTTGCGAGACTCTGGATAAGCCCGCCGCAGGGCCCAAGGATCACGAATTGCGCCATTTATTCGTTAAACCAATGTGGGTAGGTCGCGGGTGGGTCGTGGGTGGGTGGCGGGCAGAAAATCCACCCCGTAAAAATCACCCCGACACGCGAAGCCGCTTAGGAAACGCACGCAAGGCATGAATCGAACAAGGAAGGGCTGTTTAGTCAACGCCCAAGGCCGTTCAATAAACGTCCATTGTCGGGTCCGGGTGTTTTTTCCTCCCTTGAGGGTGGGTCGCGGGTTGGTCGCGGGTGGGTCGCGGGGTGGGTCGCGGGGTGGGTCGTGGATGGGTCGCGGGGTGGGTCGCGGGTGGGTCGCGGGGTGGGTCGCGGGTGGGTCGCGGGTGGGTCGCGGGGTGGGTCGCGGGTGGGTCGCGGGTTGGGTCGCGGGTGGGTCGCGGGGTGGGTCTCGGGATGGGTCGCGGGTTGGGTCGCGGGGTGGGTCGCGGGTGGGACGACGACAACAAACAGCAACAAAAGCAACAACAACGCAACAAGCAGAGCTCTCGCCACGAATCCCTTATTCAGCCACGCACCCAAGGACAATGAGTGACCGGTCGGCCCCCTCACTCTGACCGATAAGCCCAAAAACGCTCAAGACAAATCAAACATAGAAGAACAATCGTCGAGGGAGGAAAACAATGAGTCAACAAATGCTCAAACATAATCCACAATGGTCGACAAAAAGCGCATCCCGACTACTTGTTGGGGTAGTTTTGCGCACTCCTCCTGTGGAGGGACACGCCCGACTTCACCCCCACGGGCCCCGCCGCCCCCCGGAACACGAGAGCCCCCCGAGAGATCCCCGCCAGCGAGGCCAGCGAGAGCGCCAGGCTCGCCAGCTGCGCGGGGGAGGCGGCGTCGAACTGCCTCGCGCCAGCCTGGCGCTGCCGTGCCACGCGCTGCGCAGCTCCTCCCGCCGCCGTTGCTCCTCGCCCTCTGCGAGGAGGAGGAGGAGGAGGAGGAGGGGGAGAGTGGGCAGGAGGAGGAAGAGGAGGGGGAGAAGGAGGAGGAGGAGAAGGATGAGAAGGAGGAGGAGGAGGGGGAGGAGGAGAGGAGGAGGAGGAGAAGGAGAGGAGAAGGAGGGGGAGGCGGAGGAGGAGGGGGATGAAGAGCGCACATCGGAGGAATGACAGATGAGGAGAAGAGGAGCATGAGGATGATGAAGAGGCAAGAGCGTACTAACGCGAAGAAGCGACAGCGTCTGAGGAGTTGTACAAACACGCTCCTGGCCTCGCACCTGGAGAAAAGGCAGGAGGCTTGGCGATTACAAGGGAATAGGGGTCGAGGAGTGGGAGGACAGAGAACAAGACGATGGGACATGCGAGGAGGAGGAGGATAAACTGGAGGATGAGGAGGAGGAGGCGGAAGAGAAGGATGAGGAGGAAGACAAAGAGAGAAACCAGGCGAGGATGGGGAGGACGTGGAATATGAGAGAGCAGACACGAGGAGAACGAGGAGGGCGACGAGGGATAAGGAGGAGGACGCCGAGGAGAGACGACGGGGGTGGAGGAGTATGAGGAGGAGGAGGAGGAGGAGGAGGAGGAGGAGGAGGAGGAGGAGGAGGAGGTGTTGGAGGAGGAGGAGGAGTACGACGAAGGTGAGGAGGGACTACGATCCGGGAGAAGGTAGAGGAGGACTTGCACGCGGTGGGGAGGAGGGAGCAGGGAGAGGAAGACGAGGCGAGCAAGAAAGGCGGGACGAGTGCTGCATTTTCCGCTCACCTGCCATTGCACAGCCTGGCGCGCGCGCGTGCGCGGCGGGGACGGATCGACCCGACTGAAAACCGGCGTGGGGATGGCCCGATCGGGTGTCGGTCCAGGGAGAGTGATTCAAAGGAGGAGTTGGAGGAGGAAGGGAAGGAGGAGGACAGACAGACAGACACCTCTTGGGGCAGGAGTCAACTTCAAGCAACTCGAGCGCCCTAGGACCCACAGAACTGCCGCGAATTTCAGGCCTCCAGCCTGCCCACACCCTAGCGGCGCTTCAAAGCCCCAGGGAACGAAACCACGGGAGGAGGAAGATGGGGAGGAGGATGAGGAGGAGGGGGAGGACGGGAAGTAAGAGCCAAACAGGTAAGGAGGAGCCGAAGGAGGAGAATGGGGAAAAATGAGGAATGGGTGTAAAAAAAGGAAAATCTGATTGAGGAAAAGGAGGAGCAGGAGGAGGAGGAGGAGGAAAAGGGGGAGGGAGAGAGAATGACAAGGACCACGTCCATCGCTTCGCTACGTGGAGCGGGAAGCTCAGAAAGACCCTGTACGTTGACGCTTGGAAACGGGAACGTCGTTAGCGCGTCGCGCCGAAGCGCCGTGGGCCAGAATCAGCAGCGCCACACGCTAAGCCAACGCTCTCGACCGTAATGATGGCAAGGGAGGAAAGCACGGGGGAGACGATGACGAATATACGAACGGAGAAGACGACGAGGAGGAGGAGCAGCAGGAGACAGGGAAAGAAATACGTGAACAGAGGGGAGGGAGAACAGAAAAGGAGGTGGAGCGACAGCACCGTGAGGAACAGGAGGAAGGGGGGGAAGACCACTACTAGGAAGAACGGTGAATGGTTCCTGCACATCCCTCGGCCCGCAACCCCCACCCCCTGGCGCTGATCCTCCTCTTCTGCCCCCTCGCTGTTATCCCACTCGTCCCCCCTCCATCGCTCCTCATCTGCATCCTCGTCCGGTTACTCTTGGCCCACCTGCCCAGTCTGCCCAACCCACACACCCAGTCGGAAATTGAAACCATCTCAACACATCCTCACACACCTGGCGTCCACCTTCGGAGGGACTAGAATGAGGAGGAGAAGAGCGACGACGAGGACGGGGAGCGTTACGGAGAGGCAGGGAGGCGGCGGGAAGGGAAGAGGAAGGAAACGGATTTGCGGGGATGCTGGTGGTTATTGGGTCGTTGGGCTTCTCGGCGGACAAGGGAGGAAGCGTAGGATGGACAGGCGGAGGAGAAAAGAGGGCGACGACGACGACCACGAGGGGGCGTCCCACTCCATCAGAATGCATCCCCCCATTTGCACCAAATCCAGATCACTGCCAAGTAACGGTTCTGGGCGTCCTACGTCCTGTTCCGTCTGCACATCACGCGTCCTGTTTCCCTCTCAGCCGTGCAAGCGTTGTCCTCATTCCGACGTGCGGGGCCAGGGGGGGAACTACTTCCAGTACCCCACGACTCAGCATCAGGTGACAGTGAAGAGAGGTGCGGACGAGAGTTGCGACAGTACGCTGCCCTCTAGAGGACGTGTACAAGGGCGCCGACGGTTCGCGAGAGAACTTCCCCACGCGGGATCTCAAACCACAAGCGCAGCACCGCACTCTTAGGGCAATCGCGGTGGAAAAATACATCAAACAAACCCGCTGGCCGTCGGGCCATGCAGCACGTTCCACGCACTGATCGGCGGCCCAATCGCCACGCTGGATGCCTCTGCCTGACCACCCCCACGTGGATAGACATGCCAGCTAATGAGCTAGAAAATGCGACAATGGCATAAACTTTGTGCACTGGCAGAGCTCACACAACCGTGCACTATAATACCGCCTGGGAGGGCCGCGTCGCAAAGGCCTTCAACGCATTCACATTAGAAAGAGGTCCATGCTACGCCGTGCAAGTATCACTGCCTCGCGCGCGAGCGTCTACCTTCTGGAAAATGCGACGCATCTCTACACCCTTCGCAGGGTACCTCGCATGCTCCACCATGCGGCCGTCCTCCATGTAGCGGTCCACCGTCACCTCGTGACCCTGACAGGGGTGGGACAAACAGCAGCGCGCGATTCACCCCCAGAGCGACCGCATTCTGCCCTAGCCGCCGTATACTGCAATTGATCCTGCTCCTAGTTTCCTGCTCCTGACACAGCCCCTCCTCATCCTCCTTCTCCGCCTCCCCCTGCCGCTACGTACATATCCTGCTTGTGCTCGTCCTCCACCCATGCCCTCTTCTTTTTTCTCCTTCTCGTCCTCTCCTCTCTCTTCTTATCTTCTTCACCTGCCCATCATCAGCCTGGGTCTTCCCCCGCCTCCCCAAACCACCTCGACCTTCCGCCTCGTCTCCTGCGTCTTCTCGTCTTCCTCGTCCGCTTCCTGGACATCGTCGCCATCGACCTCCTCCTCCTCCTCCTCCTCCTTCTCACCCATCCTCCTCCGTGACATTCATGTGCTCCGCACATCTTGCCACTCCGAGGAGCTCTTGCCCGGGCGCTCTCAGGAACTCCCCCAAAAAACGGCCCGGAAATGACATGCCCCCGAGACCAGCCGGCCTCTCGCGAGGATGGGGCATAGGAGGAGGAGCGTCCACGCAGCACTTGCGAGGGAGCTCTGCGCAGGATATTCCATATAGGAGTAGGTCGGGCATGTCCTCCTACAGGCGGGTTTTGGAGGACAACTAGAAAACAACAGCCAAGACACATATGCAACAAGGAATCACAACTACTCAACACATTGGCCCCATACTGTGTTTTGAATCTGTTTGAAGCACATTCCTCCGGTGGAGGGACACGCCCGTCAAAAACATAGGATGGTCGCGCCTGCGAGAGCGTTCCGTGTTCCCTTCAGGTGAGCGCGCGGCGGCGCGGCGGCACCCCCTCCTGCTCAGCTGTCGCACTCAAGCGGCCGCGGTGCGCGCCGTAGGCGGGAGCCTTCTCTCACATGCTGGGCAGCCACAGGCGTGCCGATACACAGTGCTCGTGAACGGACAATCCCTCAATCTGACTGTCCTACCGCTCCGGTCCACTACGCAGTATGGGCGATCGACGAAGCGCCTTGACGCACTGGAAACAAGGAAAAACGTACAAGATCCCTGGACGCTCCGGTGATAGGTGAAAGCATGCCTTGCGACCGCAGGGCGTCATGCCCCGGCTCGTAGCACGGAGAATGCGCACGAAGCCTGGACGAAACGCCGCAGTAATAGCGGGCCGAGACCAGGGAAAGCCTCAGAACGCCGGCGGTCCGCCGCCGCGCCTGCAGAAGGTGGGCGTGTTAGAATGCCAGGCGCTGCTCTGTGGGGTGCGTGTCCCCCCTCCCCTCTACTCGCAGACAGGCGCATGCGCCCCTCTTGCTCCCGAGGCCACGATCTCTGGCGCAGAAACAACGGAATCAGCGCTCCCACGGTCACGATCCCTGGAGGAGGAAAGGCGCGTCCGCGTCCCGAGCTTCCAAGGCGGTCCAGGCACGCAACCAAGGCAACCAAGATGGCCCACGATGCCTCGAAGACTGGCCGAGATGGCCCCAAGGCGGCCGAGTATGGCCCCTAGACGGCTCAAGATGCATAGAAGAGGGTCCAAAAGGGCCCCAAGAGGAGCCCCAAGAGGGTCCGAAGAATCCCAAATGATTCATTCCCCGTGGGTTGTTCAATGATTTTCGCATCCTCGTCTTTTCGGTGCCTAAGAAGGCTCCATGATGGCCCTCAGACGGCCCAAGAGGCCCCCACGAGGGCCCAAAGATAGCACAAAGATGGCCCGAAAGGACCCCACGAGGACCCCACAAGCATCCAGGACGGTCCTCAAGACGGCCCAAGAAGGCCTCCCATGGGTCCCAAGACGGCCTTAGAAGGTCCTTCGACTGCCCCAGACGGCGCAAGACGGCCCTCAGGCACTCATCATACGGCCAAGAAGGCCCCGAGACGACTCAAGAGAGCCCCAAGACGGCCAAAGAGGGCCCAAAGCGGACTCCCAATACTGACAGGAGGTCAAGACAGCCACAAGACGGCAAAAACGAGTTCCATAAGACGACATGTGTCACATGTAACGGCCTTCCTCGTCCTTCTCCTCCTTCTGCTCCTCCTGCTTTCCTCCCCCTCCTACACGCCCTCCTCCTCTTCCTGCTCCTCATGTTCCTCATCTTTCTCCGCCTCCTCATCATCATCAACAACAACAGCAGCATCACCACCACCACCACCATTGCCATCATAATCATCATCACCACCATCATCACCATCATCGTCATCATCATCGTTGTCATCATCATCAGCAGCATCGTTATCATCATCATCATCGTCATCATCAGCATCATCATCATCAGCAGCAGCATCAGCATCAGCATCAGCATCATTATCATCGTCATCATCATCTTCGTCATAATCGTCGTCGTCATCATCCTCATCATCCTCATCATCACGGCTCTCCCAAGCCTGGAGACACGAGGTGACACACGTGACGGCCTCTCGTGCCCCCTCGAACAGCCACCACCGAGAATGCTGGTCTGGCAACGCGGGACTTGCCTCAGGCAGCTGGAGAATACGAGCGTCAAATGACTCGCGGCGCTCGTGCGAGTGCTCCAGGGTGGCAGCGCTCTAAAAGGGAACCAACCGGACTCGACAGTGCAAACACGCGGCGGCAACCTGGTCCACGTACAAGCCACCCGACTTCAGGACGCTGCCCTCGAAGCGCGGGTTGAGGAGCAGCACCGGCCGGCCCGCATCATCGTGCATGGGGATGGACCTGGGTGTGTGGGCCGGACCGCGCCGCAGACGGGAGACCCGATCGCATGGATGGATCATGGCCCCGACCATGGCTCAGCTGCGAGCGAGGGGGGGAACCTGAGAAGGAGAAGGCCGTCTCAGAAGGTGGCGGGATTTCTCAGAGGCCCTCGCGCCTTCTTAGACGTGTTCTGTATCTTCGGGGAAGGACCAGGAAACTTCTCAGATGGCCGGGGGACCTCCGAGCCTTCTGAGAAGGCCTTCTCCTTCTCACTCCCCTCCTCGCTCGCCGCCGAATGGCGGACGCCGATCGCTGTCCGAGTAGGCGGTCAGGTCAGGCCGAGAAATCGATCGAACCAGGGCAATCTCACGACAAGCGACCTTTCCACTGCGGATTGCTGTGGCTGCGACCGGCGACTAGGCCATAGGGGATAGGCCATAGATGGAAGGGCCTACGGTCAGCCATACTTCACATGGAGAGCGCTGATATTGTCGCCAATTCTGTAGGGTTCTGAGCCACGAAGAGGCCCGAGAAGCCGCGCTCCCCCGAGGGGCTAGAGAGGACCAAGATGGGGAAACTCGTAAGGGCCCTGGGAGCAAACCCAACAAGATTAGGCCCCAAGACGCACGACATGCCCCCAAGGTGCGCCCAAGAGCGCCACAGAAGCCCTCAGGGGGCCTACAAAGGGCTCCCAAAGAGACCGCCTCCAAGAGCCGCACAGGAAGATCCGCAACAGAGAGGGAGGAAGACGGGGCAAACCTTAGGTCGGGCATGTCCTTCTACAGGCGGATTTTGGAGGAAAAATAAAAAGTAGCCAAACAATTTGCAAAAATAGTCAAGAACACGCGAAAATCGTTTCCACATAATTTTTCGACTAGTTTGGGAGATTCCTCCTGTAAAGGGACACGCCCGACTTAAGGCAAACCAACAACAACGACGCGCAGGCGGCACGACGGGGCGCGGAAGCCGCACGAGCATCCTCTTCTGGGGGGTCGGCGGCATGGCGTCCTCCCCTCGAGTGGTGCACCTCCCTGAAGGGGCCCTGGGACACACAAATAAATAGACACAAATAACAGGATTCACCATATTTTCCCGCATGTTCTGGGTTGTTTCCCCTCCTGGATCCCACCCTCCTCCCTTCTTTGCTGCTTCCCTCTGGATCCTGTGACTGATGCTGCTCCGTGTGCCCCCCCCCCGTCGTCGTCCTCCTTCCCGTCCTCCACTTCAGACCTCTTCACTCATCCCCTCTGCCCTCGGGGGCGCGCAAACATGGACTAGCGAACCATGGATTTGGCGCGCGGTCGCCTGATCCATGGATCAGGGGAGGTGCCCTCCCCAAAATGCGACCAATGCCGCCTCGTTCGGCGGCGGAAGTCCGCGATTCCCCACGGAAACGGTACCCGCCGCAAACCCACGCCCCCCTTGATCCAGGCTTGCGATCGCCTGACTCCCCCCCACCTCCATCACCCCCACTGTCACCACCCTCCGACACCCTTCGCCATCTGCCCCCTGACAGCATCGCCCCTCCCCGTTTCACGCCCTCCACACCTGCCTCCTCTACGCTTCCTCCCGCACCTCCCTCTGTCAGCATCCGTCCTACCACCTGCCTTTAGGTCGGACATGTCCTCCTACAGGCGGGTTTGGGGCGAGCAAATCAAACACTTACCAACAACAAGTCAACAATAGTCACAACATCGTACCCAAACTGTTGTTTGACTATGTTTGAAGATTCCTCCTGTAGGGGGACATGCCCGACTTAATCCTACCTCCTGGGACCTCACACCTCTCGTCCTCCCTCCGCCCTTGATCCTCCAGCATTCATCCTGCTTCTCAGCCTTTTCGCCGTCCTCCTCCTCCTCCTCCTCCACCTCCTTCCACTCTTCCTCCTCCTCCTCCGCCTCCTCCTCCTCCTCATCCCCCCTTTCCCCTCCTCCTCCTCCTCCTCCTCCTGGTGCTCCTCCTCCTCCTCCTCCTCCTCCTACTCCTCCTCCTCCTCCTACTCCTCGCCATGGAGCGCTGCAACAGCCAAGTAAGCAAGGTGTCCGATCGTTCTTCTCTGACGGCCGGACCACATGGAACCGCGCCCGTCTGTTGGTGTTTCTCCTCGTGCTACTCTCCACTCCTCCCTACCCTGCTGAGGAGGAGGAGGAGGAGGAGGAGGAGGAGGAGGAGGAGGAGGGGGAA